TGATTATATTGCAAAAGTTTGCAGTGGCAATTCACCGGAATATTTGCTTTCGAGCACACCAAACTAATAACTCATATGCATTTAATTATTCCAAATAGGGATGCTTACAGAAGCTATGATTTGCGATGATTATTTTTCTGGTGAGAAGACTGTTCAGGATTGGACAATGTCTTCGAGCAAGTTCCATTCTTGGAATTCAATAAAACCAACTTCAGCAGTGACAGTCGCCGAGGGAAGTAGTTATGTATGCTGCAAGAATCGTTGCAAGCTAATGAACTTTTGCTCGACTCATATTTCAGATATGTTGTTTTGACTGAGTGCATTCAATCGTCTTTTTAAGAGATCTCATTATTCGAGATCTAACCATTGTACAGAAATCACTGCAATATTTTGTCTAAAATGATAAGTAACTGAATTAAATTGTAACCAAAGTTAAGACTTAAAATAGAACGTTTTATAATGATGCGCGATAGAAGTGAATGGTGGAAATACCAATGCGAGCAGTTGGGACAACAATCGGTACGGTACCGAAAGCTAACGACGCCAGGACGGTGGAAATGGTAGCAGTACGAGAGAACATTCCAGCATTCAAGTAGATCAGTTATCTCATGGCTGGAAACGAGTCTCTGAAGGACCTTCTCCATTACAGGCGACTTCCAAGAAGCATAAAAAAGTAACATACCATAACGACAATGCTTATGCCATGCCATGTTGCAGTACTTCTGAAACAACGAAGACTAAACGAGGGAAGAAAGTGAAGATTAACACGCATGGCACGAAAGAAAAGTCCGTTGCAAAACGAGATGGAAACCGAAAAGAAGAAAGCTGTGTGGTCGTACAATCAGCACCAGAAGTTCAGGAAGGAAATGGAGGATGAAGGGAGAAAACCCGCAATTGCAATCCTAGTGGAAAATAATGGGGAAGCAGATAAGGTTGTGAAAGGCTCCAAGAAAGATGTAGGCGAGCACTCTGCCAGCTTACCGGAATCGGGAACCAGTAGGATGATCACGCTTGAAGTTATTATCCCAGAAATCGAGATTTCGCAGAGCAGCTGGCTAGATGAAGTGCTGAAGGCGGTTCTTCACCGTTTCGGGAGGATGGTCATTGTTTGCTGTGAGAAGTTGTTGTGTGCGATCAGCATTCACGACCTGAAGAATCAAGTCAATTCTGCGTTCAGGTCCGTGCTCGTAGAAGCGGTTATTGGAGGAGTAAGGTACTGACATTTTATTAGTTGAGTCGAACATCTTTTAGTACTTGCAAGAGTAAAGTAGATGAGGAGTTAGTCACCTTTCACGCAAAGGATATAGAACAGTTGCAGTGCTATGCAGTGCAAGTTTCTATCATCGGACAACAAAGAAGCTAGTTGGGCTCGTCAA